AGAGTGTTTCATCTCATTTCTCTTTGGGGTTGCTGTAGGTGATCTGGAAGTCTGGTTTTGAGATTTGTTTACATGTCTCCTCATTTCAGAACGGGGAGGGGTGTGTGTGTGTGCTGTTGGTGCCTGTGCAGCTCACCTCCTCTGAGCTGGGAGCAGTTCGACAGTGGCCTGGAAGCCCCTTTCTCTAGGCTGGGAGTGGCGGGATGGACAGCACTCCTCAGGCCCCTTCCTCTGAGCTGGGAGCAGTGGGACAGCCTCCCGGAAGCCCTTTCCTCTAGGCGGGAAGTGGCAAGATGGGTGGCGGCCTGTAAGCCCCTTCCTCTGGGCCGGGAGTGGCAGGATGGACAGTGGCCCGGAAGCCCCTACCTTTGGGCTGGGAGCAGTGGGACTGAGCCTGGAATCGCCTTCCTCTGAGCCAAGAGTGGTGGGATGGCGGCTCAGAAGCCCCTCTTGGCACTTTCCAATACAAGTTTTGCTATCAGTAACATGGATTGGTTAGCTACTTAAACAAGTTTATCATATTTATTGAATGGTCCATATCTAAGTTACTTTTCTCTTGTGGAGAGAAAATACCTGACATCCAAAGTTAAAGGGGGAAAGTGTTATTTAGCTCACAGTTGTGGAGGTTTTAGTCCATAATTGGCTGGCTCCATGGCAGGTTGGCTTGGCAGAAGGGCAACAGTTCATGGCAGGCAGAAGGTAGCAAAGCAACAAGGGACAACCACAGGTCTTTCTTTCCCTTACATCTTATCCAAGCTACTTGCTCTTAGGTTGAGTAACACTCATGCCCTTAATCCTATTGCCCTTGATTCTAGAATTGCACCAGGAATCCCAGCCTCACACACCCTAGATCCAGCTACCTCTGTAAAAGCCCCACCTATGACTATGTGAGGCTTTGGGGAGACATCTAGACACAAGCCCTAACAATCCAACATGTGAAAAGCACATCACTGATTTTGAAACTCTGCCTCTCCAGAAGAATACATTGTTAATTTAACAATTCTCCTCTATTTTATCTAGCATTCTATTATATTAGGATTCACTGAAGTATATTCTTAATTGAATTCATGAAGAAAATCATGGCAGAAATGCAAAGTAATTTGTCAATAATTCTAAATGCTTTGGTATTAAAATAGCCACAATGATTAGATTATGTCATTATGAGAAATGTCTGAATTTTAAATTTTTATTTATTTATTTATTTTAAGAATTTTAAATTTTAATTGCACCCTTGTTTCTGTTTATACTTTGGCCCAGGAGAGTCTGATCTTCCATTATCATTCACACTTTCTAAGCAAAAAATATTTTGAAGGCTTAAAAAAATAGAAAAATATTATGAAAATAAAATAACAGTCGACAGTATCTGTTTACAGGACTTGAGTATAGACAACCAAATAAAAATGTTATATCAAACTTTATCAAGGAAAGAAGGAAGACTATTTATGATCCAATCATAGGTAAGAGTGCAAGGAATAATCCTAAATCAAGAAAAAAAATCAAAGAACATAAGGAATAATTTTTCCCTCAAGCTTGTTCCATTGTGGAATTATTCTTCTAAAAATGAATGATTAAATAAAAAACATCCTGGACACTCAAATTTATCCTTGCATGATCCTGGTTTTCCTCTGAAGGGAAATATTGCAATAATAGCACTTCAACTGCTAGCCAAAGCAGGAACCAGATGATCTCATAGGGCTCTTCCATCTTTAACTTCTTGATGCTTGCACTCATAAATTTCTGTGGTGTTTTAACCTTTCAGTGAGACTTCTGAAAACTTCTGTAAAAACAGATCCAAGTTAGAAATAGATTAATCACCAACAGGATGAAGAAGAAAACACTTCATTTCAGTCTATGGAATCGAGATAGTGAATGTTTATTCCCTCATTCATTCAACAAATATTCTCAGTTCATACTATTTGGCAGGAGTGTGAAAGTTCAGTATCCCAACTGCTAACCAAACTAATGCCTTGATTTAAAAAAAAAAAACAAGTTAGGAGTAAAGCATTCATAGTATACTTGATTCTCTGATCCATGGGTGATAACAGTAAGTACTAAATCAAAGGGTGCAGTGTGAGCGGAGGCATGAGCTTGACTCTTGTCCTTAGTGAGCACAAAACCAATTCTCCATATGCTCCTGCCAGCTCCTTTCCTCATCTGGCAAGTCCGTTAAGTACATCCTGGGGGTACAGTGGCACAGAGTGAAGACAAAGGCCAACAGGCCCAGCTCTTACTGTCCCATAGTAGCAGGCCCCATGCACTACTCTGACAGTCCTCTGTGCTAGTTCTGGGTGTTAAAAATCCCAGAACCTAGAATAAAGTTCATCGGCAGACAGAATAAAGCTCAAAAACAGACAATTTTGCCTGGACATGCTCTGAGTGTACAAGTGCACTCTGCAACTTTCACACTGGGAAACTGTGCTAGACTTTTATCATCAGTGTAATTACTTTGGAAATTATTTATGAACTTAAACACATTTTGAAAGAAAACATACTGCAACATGAGCTTAGTATTTTTGTGCATGACCTATTAGCATCACCTGTTGTAGGACATTCTTGGTCTTGTGGACAGGCGGAAGGGTGTTACAGACTGAGCAGAGGGGTCCTGGGAGCATCAGGGAAATGTGGAGGGGAGAGGGATTTGACTCTGAAGGCTGGAAGGGGTCAGTGTGTGACAGGAACTCAGTAACTCTGCCTTTAACTCTTAGCATTATCTCTGTAAAATTAAATCTATCATGTCTTAGCTGTTTACATTTTCCAACTTTATTTAGAAATTGGCATATTTCCTTCCCAGTGAGCCATCTGTAAATATACCATCATTTTTATTTAAATAAATATACATGTAAGCCCTCATTATGTCCTAGACAATGTGCTACTACCCATTTTACATGTAAGGTCATGACACTTTCATTTAAATTTTGTAAAAGCACTATTATTACATAGACATTAGAGCTCAGAAAACTGAGGCTGAATCTGCACGTGAATCCAACCAATTTGACTCAAAGTTCATCTTCCTGTAATAACTGAATATGTAATGGTATCTTTCTAAGCATGTTCCCACCCAGGGGGAAAGCCTGAGGAGAAAACATTCTTTGGTCATTTAAGTATGGGACCAAACTACCCCACACCCCCCAGATTCACAATGCATTTGTGATATTAAAGTCCCTGTGCAGTCTGAAATGGAGAAGTCCATTTCATTTTTTATGAGTATTTCACAAACTTTAGTTGACTGCTAGAGAATTTTCCCAGTAAAACAAACCAGAGACCAAATCTTTTGGAAACAGTCTTACAGCATATTGGGAAATCTTTGTCAATTAGAAGTCAACTTACCTAGAATCAAAGAGATATAAACCTTACTGTATACTCTAAAATCAATGTTTGACACAGTGAAAGTTTGGGCTAGTTGGGTTATGAATTCAAATAAACAGGTCCTGACTAGTATCTGGAAAAAGAAAATAGGGAGAATATATGTGTTTTGTTGCATTCAGTTTAAGTATGGTACTGATTCATAAAATCTTTACTGAATCACAGTGTAAAATGGGATTCTTTACACAGTCATGCCAAACTTTTTGAAATCATTGCTTTCCTAAAAGTCACGAGTTGCTTGTTGTGCTAGAGTGTAGGTGGTAACAAATGTCTATATGTCGTAAAACTAGCACAAAAAGGACTGCTTAATACCATGGCTAAATACGTTGTAAGTACTGAAAACTGAACAATTTTAGAGGTGAAATATCTTATGAAGGAGACACCAAGATAGAGTCTTGTAATTTGTTAAGGTCAGACAAGTCTTCTGATATGTACCCTAGTTTTCTTTTACTTGTTGGTGTATTGGTAAAACTTTTTAATAGCATGTTTAGGGTTGTTTTTAAGGGATAAGAAAACCAGGTGCCAATTTTAGCAAATCATTCCTGGATAGCAAGTCAGTTACACTTTATAAAAATGCAACAGGCTTAACTTGAAGGAAAAGCAATTCAGAGATACTTCACTGCTGGGCTCTAATCCCAATTCGAACTAATAAACTACTACATTTTGTTACTAGGTGGGGCCACTTAACTACCTGGTTTCTTATGTGTGCATGTAAATGTCCCAGACACAGGGTTTTGAGAGATTTAGCAGCTGCACGTGAGTGAAGGCAGGATCTGGTGATGTGTAAGTTACAGGCACAGCCTTTACTTTAGCTCTCTAGGAATAAACAATGAATCAGGTACAGGAAACACTCCAAATCACAGTGCTTTTACAAAAGAACAGTAACTACGACTTAGGAAGCATCTCATAGCTAAATGAATGAATGAATGAATGAATAAATAAATAAATAAATAAATGGCAAGGTTCTAGGCATTTTATTTTAGGCAAGCGCCCTCAGGGCTTTTTCAGGTGAACCCTTGGAGGTTACACCTACAATTGTGCAGGTCTGCCAGAGAGAGGGTGTTGGTGGACCTGGAAGTTCCCTGGGAGTGCAGGGGGAGTCCGGCCCGGGCTGGGATTCCTGCGAACTCTCAGGACGCGGTCGCCTCCTTCCGGAAAGCCCCAGGCCCCGGAGACAGAAATCACTTGATAACTTAATCTTGGTATGAGCGAGACACGCTGAGGCCTGTGTACGCTGCTGATAAACGCAGACATCCGGTGGAGGGAGAGGGACACGGTATCTCCCGACAGGAATCTAAAGGAACGAAGCGTAAACAGAGGTCGGCGCGCCCCTCCCGACCTCCTCCTCCTTCCCTCGGTTCCCCAGCGCCGGGACCGTCCGGAGCAGCGCGGGCGCGCGTGACGTGGGCGGCGGGAGGGGCCCGGCGCCTTCTTAGCCTGCGAGGGCCCGCGCCCGCTCCTCCTCCTGCTCCTGCTCCTCCCGCCGCGCGTGCGGC